GGCAGCTGATCGATGTTTCTCTCCCATCGATGTTTCTAACTATCTATCTCTCTCCCTTCCTCTCTGTAAAAAATCAATAAAATATATTTTTTTTTAAAAATAAAAATAAAAAAGAAGGAACTCTTACCATTTGCAACAGCATGGATGGATCTGGAGAGCATTATGCTACGCGAAACAAGCCAGTCGGAGAAAGATAAATATCACATGATCTCACTCATTTGTGGAATATAATGAACAACATAAACTGATGAATAAAAATAGATGCAGAGACATAGAACCATGGAACAGACCATCAAAGCTCAGAGGGAAGGCAGGGGAGGGTGGGAGTATGGGAGAGAGATCAACCAAAGGATTTGTATGCATGCATATAAGCCTAACCAATGAACACAGACAACAGGGGGGGTGAGGGCATGTGCTGGGGAGTGGTAGTGGCCAGGGAGAAGTCAATGGGGGGAAAAGGAGACATATGTAATACTTTAAACAATAAAGAATTTAAATTAAAAAGAAAAAACTTCCAGTGAATGACTACTTAATTGTAATTTCTTCCTGATATAGGAATGATTTCCAATACCTACCTTTTTCTTCACAATTTATGTTTTCTTTAAGCACTAGTTCAGCACACAGTAATATAAAGGAATTTCAGCAAAAAGAAAGTCTATCACAGTGACTATACCACTAAGAGAAGATGAAGCAGAATGAGGATAAAAATTGTTGTTTATTTCTTTGTTACACAAAGAGAATTAAAAGTGGTTCAAGACGTCTGAGCCCGTCTCCTGTGTCCTTTCTGACACGATGAGAACATACGAAAAATGGCACCGAGACTAGGAGTCCAGCTCCGGGTCCAGTTTCTCCACTTTGATGACTATCTCCGGCGCTGAAGCAGCAGCACCAGCTGGTTGGCTCTCTGCCTCCGACTCGGACAACACTTCTTCCTTGATTTTTACAGGCTTATTGCTGGCCTCCTCATCGTCGTCTGAAGACTCATCCAGCTCCCATTCATCATCGATGTCCATTTCAAACACTCTCACATGACGGAGATTTGAGCTTAACTGAAGAAAAAAAAGGCCAAACACAGAATTTTAAAATGTATGGCTTAACTAATTATGCATACGGAATTAGAAATCAGGAGTTCAAAGAATGGTTTTATAGGAAAACTAGAGGCCCAGTGCACCACATTCATGCACTGGGGGGGGGGGGGGTCCCTCAGCCTGGCCTGCATCCTCTCACAGTCCGGGACCCCCCAAGGGGAGCGGGCCTAAGCTGGCAGTCGGACATCCCCGGAGGGGTCTTTAGTGTTGCTATGGAGGAGGGAGAGGCTCCCACTACCGCCACTGTGCTCGCCAGCCATGAGCCTGGCTTCTGGCTAAGAGGTGCTCCCCCTGTGGGAGCGCACTGACCACCAGGGGACAGTTCCAGCATTGAGCATCTGCCCCCTGGTGGTCAGTGAGCATCATAGTGACCGGTCATTCCACCGTTTGGTTGATTTGCATATTAGGGTTTTATTATATAGGATTATTTTCCCATCAATGTTCAACAAAATCACTAAACTGAAGCTTTCATTTTGCACAAAAGAATCTCCACATGCAATAGTAACAATTTCATAATTAAAAAATCTAGACTTGTTACTGATTACTTAGTAAGCTTTCTCAGAACAAGAGAACTAAATAGCTAAGGTGACTAACAAGCTCATCATCAACAGAAGCAATTTATCACAAAAAGTTTGCCCTGAAAGGACCATATGGATCCAGTCGCTTCCTCCTATAACTCTGAGTAAGCAATCTGCAAACACTTACCACACAGGACACCTTTCGAAAACCATTCCCAGCAACATACTGCGCTTTCATACTTTCCAGTAATCTCCAATGCTTCTCGAAATGCATGGTACGTGTAGGGATAGCACCACACTGTTCATCTAGCCTAGAGAGCGGGAAAAACCGACCCAGGAGTGAAAAGGGGATCACCTCCTGGTTTACTAGGGGGGGTGTCAGGGTCAACCATGGGCTCGGTTTCTACGGATATTCCCATCTCCAAAATAATTTTACCAGACTCTGTATAAAAACACTGTGTGCTATATTCTACAAAAATACTATAATTACAAACAAGCAAAATATCTTCTTAGTAAGGTTTTTCATTCTCTTTCGAGGAAAATAAATAGACACATTTTTAAATTAGAGAAAGGATCTGCTTTCTTAAATCTCAGTCAGCCAAAGCCATCTCTTGGAAATGGCCATGTCCTCTCCATGTGGCTACGGAGGCCCTACGTCAGGAAGGGAAACACT